TGTGTTGACGGTATATTACTGTTGTTATAGTAATTTTACTGTCAATCACAGTAATATTAATTCATTTCGTTTTTTATTATGTTTATATTTGTTGAATGGTCAACATAGTAATATTACTCTATTACACAATAATAATGAGTTTTGTTTTGTAAATATTAATGTGCTAGAGATTAAGAAAGTAATTTTACTGTGTTAAACTGTAGTATAGTTGATTTTACTGTGTTTAACAGTAATATAGTTAATATTACTGTCAATCACAGCAATATTGTTGTTTAAACGGGGAAAAAAAAAGATGTTACACAAAGAAAGTTTTTTTTTTCGAAAAAGTCAACGCCGGAGACCGGCTTTGACCGCCGATCAATGCTGGAAACCGGTGGCGGAAAAATCAGGAAGGAAAAAAAAGTCAACGCTGGAGACCGGCGGTCAAGGGCGGTTGACCGGCGACGGAGGTGACGGACGAAATTGTCCATAAAAATGTGTTTTGGGTCAAAGTTGAATAATTTGTGAAATTTGTGGTCAATTTGAGGTTAAGTTAAATTAAAGGATGAAATTTGAACATAATAAAGTATGATAGGCTATCTTAGTCTTTTACAAAAATCTGGACCATGTGTAGATTTTTTTGTAAAATAATTTATTGTTTGGATCTGTTTATGAATAAGTACCCATTGATGGACTTATTTGAAAAGAGCCCAAATTAATAGGGATGCCAATTTGATCCGCACCGATGAATCCTACCCCGTCCTAAAATGGGGCGGGTATGGGGATTGAATTTTTTTTTATCGGGTACGGGTACGGGCACGGGAACGGGGACGGGTTTGCCTATACCCGCCCTGTAGACATGCCCCGTACCCTCCCCCATTATTTATATTTATGATATATGTTTATTATTTATTATATTAGATATAAATAATTGAATAGTAGTAATATATTATATATAAGCTGAGGATTTTTAGGTTTCAATTATATAATTGAATATTAATATTATAATTAAATATTGGCTTGTTTGTTAAAATAAACTTTTAAATTATGGGCACTTTACAAATAAGTCCATCAATGGGTATTTAGTCATAAAGAAGTCCAGACAATAAACTCTTTCACAAAAAAATCCACACATGGTCCAGAGGTTTGTAAAAGACTAAAATAGTCCCTCATACATTAATATGTTCCAATTTCATCCTTTAATTTATTCTAACCTCAATTTGACCCCAAGTTTTATAAATTATTCAATTTTGACCCAAAACACATTTTTCACCATCGTCCGCGTTGACTTTTTTTTTTTTTTCTCTTCCCGATTTTTCCGCCACCGGTTTCCAGCGTTGACTTTTTCGAAAAAAAATTATTCTTTAACATCTTTTTGCCCCTCGTTCAAACAACAATATTGTTGTGATTGAGAGTAATATTAACTATATTACTGTTAAACACAATAAAATTAACTATACTACAGTTTAACACAATAGTATTGTTATATTAATTTCTAGCACAATAATATTAACACAACAAAACTCATTATTATTGTGTAATAGAGTAATAGTAATATGTTGACTGTTCAACAAAGGTAAACATAATAAAAAGCCAAAAGAATTAATATTACTGTGACCAGTTCGTTATACTTTATATGCAATGGAAGATGAAAGAATTAGTTAGTGGACTTTCTCATGGTGAAAAAGATATTGGTCGGAATGATATTTATTCTCAAGTTATTGAACCAGATAAAAGGGGAAGAGTAAAGATGTATGGAAAAGGTGCCACTGCAGTTGTAGTAATATGGAGATATTTCGAGGCGTGGTAAATTTTCAGATACATCCATGGGTAATCAGAATGAAGTTGAAGCATTAAAACAAAGAATTGATCAGCAAGAGATGCTTATAATGGGGCAAAATAAACAAATGTAAAAGCTCCTAAAAATGAATAAACAAAATTTAGGACATTATTCTCCACCATAAACCACTAGAGCCCTCTCATCATCATCTCATAGTCATTCAATCTCTCTTCGTCTTTCAACATCATCTTCTAGCAAGACGTCTTTATAGGTAACTTGACTATGAGCCCTATTTGTGAGTTATTCGGGGTTTTTTTTGGTAATCTAAATGTGAATAATAAATTGAGCTGTCATTTGACTTTTTATTTTATTTTATAACGTTGTATAGAACTGAGATCTAAGTAAATGAAGATTAATGTTGATTGTAGGTTGGAGCAAAAATATCTTTGAGAAGTATGCCTGAGTCATCTAAAGTTGTGGCTATTGGCTATGTTCAAAGTTTGGATCCATCAAAACACGTTGGACAAGTGCGTTTGGAAAATAATTGGTGTGAGGTTCACATTAATATTGGAGTTGATCCGGAAGAGGAGTTAATTCGACCAATTTCACATTTCAAAACTATTGGCGAGGCTATAGGATTGACGGTTGCTCGGTCACAATATTTGGTAATGATATATGATATATGTCATTAACAACTTCGTAGTTTATATTAGATTCATTTGACTAAATTACTGTTTCATCATATTCATAGGTTTATCTGGATACATAAAGAATTTAAAAGACTTGATTATGATTGACGGCCAGGTCATACTTTTGGATCACTTTTGAAGTTAGTTTTTAAGTTATGTACATTCTCATCCATTTACATTATTATTAGAATTTTTATTTTATTTTATGCAAACATATTTGAGAACTGTGGAAATTTTAATTGGATGGTGGAAGACGGTATATTTTGGATGTTGGATTTCTTGGTATTCAAACATTATTATAATTTTTGACATTTTGAAATGAATGAATTCAATTTGAAGAACATTTTCTTCATATTCATGCATAGGAGTTTTATTTTTTCTCGGTTGTGGGTTGAGCTTGTGTATACAATAATTTTGTTGTGTTAGTTTTACATATAAAACATTATTGTATAGTATGGGTGTATAAAAATTACACAAAATCGAAACGTCACTATAGGCACGGGAATTGGGTGTCATAAGACTACTTATCTGGACATATACGATGTCATATAATCTAACATATTAAGGCGCCTAATACCGTCACATAAAAATGTAGTTATGGTAGCTAATTTTCAATAACATGACGCTGAGGAGCGTCACAATAACACATTTTGAGACCATAAAGCCGTCACAACAAATACTTATCGAGACGCACCAAGTGTCATATAATTAACTTGTTGAGACACTCATAAACATCACAATACCACGATTTAAAGACGCCTATTGCCGTCATATAAAGAGGTAGTTACGGTGGTTAGAAAAATGTTATTGTGACGGTGGGGCATCACAACAAGATATTATGACGGCCACCTATGTGACGTTTTTTGGACGCGTCGCAATAGATGAAGCGTCACAATAGGTGGCTGAAGTGAAAGTTAAGGGCGTCATAATACAACTTTTTTGTAGTAGTGGTGAGTGACAGTAATATTACTATAACAACAGTAACCATAATAATATTATTTTGTTTACAGTAATATTACAATAATAGACAGTAATATTATTACGTTACTCCGTGAATTACTCAAATAAAACAAAAAAACCCAAAAAAATAATAATATTGATGTGGTTGACAGTAATATTATTGTGTTTATAATTATTTTACTGTCAATAACAGTAATATATTTACATTGACTTGTCACCAAATCAAACA